GCAAGCTATGCTGTACCAAGTTGAACCGTTTTTCAATAACTTCCATAAACTTCCCTGAAGCTACGTGATTTCAGTTGCTTTTTAGGGGTAATGTGAAGCTTTAATTATTGCACAGCATATGTGCCATATGCCGGAATCAAAATTTCTTCCTCCACCTCCTGAGGCCTGAGGTCAATTTTATTCGTCAGATGTGACTGACTCCACTATTCCTATTTCGAGCCTTTGTATTGTTTCTGACTGCCCAACATCATATCCCTGCAGTTCAGCTGTAGGCAGCTCGCCATGCACATTGTAGATAGCGGATAGATTGAGATATGTTCTATGAATATTTGCATAGGATCAGTTACGTGGTTCCCATACGAATAGGGTTTAACTCATCAGCTCATCTCGTTAACGTGGTGAATACAAGGTGTAATTCCGACATAGGGCGTCTGGACAGGTTAAGATTGTCTCAGAACTGGGCCTATGATCTCGAATGGTAGCCGGCAGTGACTGCCCACAATGTAAGCAGCTGAAAGACATAGGTATTAGCACCCCCCGAAACCCTTATCGCACCAAATTAAGGGGTGAAAGCACCCGGAAAGTGGAACATTGATGATCCTCTGCTATGCCCGAGAACTTGATGAAGATGACTGTCACCACAGGTAGCATATAAAGTCTGCATCTTGGGCCTGTGGTCTCCTCACTCCCCGTAACGATGCCCCGCAAGCCCGCCATCATCGATATCCAGCTGAACAGCATAGCAGCCTGCCTGACTCCTGTTCTGGCTCTCCTGAACGAACTGCTTCATTGTTTTGGTGCTCCTTTCGTGCAGGCTATTTCAAACACAGCCCTCAACTTGGTTTCCGCAGTGCAGGTAATAGGGGAGGGTACCTCACTACAACACTGACCGAGACTTCCAGAATGCAAAAACGAACAAGGAGGAATGTATGAAGCTCACCGAGCACATACATGAAATTCTCTTTGCTATTATCAAGCTTCATATGCAATCGGAGCCTCCGGGGGGCTTTTTGCCTCCTGCAACTTTGCATCACATCGGGAACTTCACCAAGTATGTTTTTCTCCTGTCATAACAAAACTGCAACTTAATGAATGGTAAGAACACTCCACAAAATACACACATTCGTGGAAGCACAGCAGAATCAGAGCAGAATCAAGCACTTCCTTAAGCAAGGTGAAATGAGGATGCTGCTTAAAGAGTGCTGGGAAGGACTGCAGGATGCTTTGGAGGTATTCAAGGCAAGTTTGATTCTGGCAACCACTAAGGAGCCATGTGTAAATTTAGTAAACATCAGTTTCAGGATGGTGCCACAATTGTGACAGATGCTCTCAAGATGCAGGAAACAACGCAAAACCTTCACGAGGAACTCCTCGACTTGATTTTGAACATGACTGAGGGAAGTTCAGACAGGTCGTCCTCTGTATGTCAATGATCTATGCCTATTTCAAGAGCTCATTATTTTATTTGGAAATCAGATGTATCACAGTATCAGTGGCTCAGAAAATAGGTACTGGAATCTGTTGGACATCCAACCTGTGCACTGATCATCTTTGAAAGCTCGATTTCCTTTAGGCTGTTGCCAGCCAAACCAAAGATATTCCATGGGCGTGAATCAGAACTCCATGAAATCCTTCAAAATTTCTGTAATAAAGAAGCACCTAGAGTAGCAATTCTTGGGGCCGGTGGAATTGGCAAAACAAGCCTTGCCAAAGCTGCGCTCCATCATCCAGACATCAGTGCAAAGTATGAAACCAAGTTGTTTGTGGCCTGTGATTTAGCTACCACCAGCATTGAACTGGCAGCCTTGGTTGGATCCAACATAGGGTTGAAGCCAGGCAGGGACCTTACCAAACCTGTGGTTCAACATGTTGCTCAAGGACCACCCTCTCTGTTGGTCCTAGATAATCTGGAAACACCATGGGAGAAAATTGAGTCCCGTGGTGGGGTTGAAGAGTTTTTGTCCCTCCTTACCGATGTACAACATCTTGCACTGATAGTAAGCATATGCCCATATTGTGATTCAGTTTTAATGTTTGACAACTTGACCAGATAACAATGCGGGGTTCAGAGCGACCAGCCAAGGTCCGCTGGACCCACCCATTTCTGCCACCTTTGGGGCCTCTATCCGATGATGCAGCTTGGCAGACCTTCATTGACATCACCGACAATGACCATGATAGCCAGAAAATCACTCAACTTCTTGAGATTGCAGATAACCTGCCTTTGGCAGTAGATCTTCTGGCTCATTTAGTTGACTATGAAGGTGTCTCAAGTGTCCTGGCTCGCTGGAAAACAGAGAAGACATACATGCTTTCTAAAGGCCATGACAAAAGTTCGAACTTGAATGCATCTATTGCCCTTTCACTTTCCAGTCCACGAATGACCTCTGGAGCCAAAGGACTATTAAGTCTTCTCTCAATCCTTCCAGATGGGCTTTCGAATTCAGAGCTCATCCACAGCAACCTCCCCATCCCTGATCTCCTGACATGCAAAGCTGTGTTACTTCAAACCTCTCTGGCATACAGCGATAACATACGGCTTAAGGTACTGGTTCCTGTCCGGGAGCATGTGCAGCATGTGCATCCACCATCGCCAAACCTGGTCCAGCCTCTTCGAAAGCACTTTCATTCGCTCCTTGATTTGTATCGAACCCATTTCGGAGTGCAGATAAATGGGATGGCTGATCAGATAAATTCCAATCTTCATAACATCCACAACATCCTACTACAAAGTCTCCATCTGGAGAACCCTGAACTTATGGAAAATATTTATTGCATCCTCTCTTTCAACTCTTTCAGACGGCTTGCTGGACATGGTCGATCTGCATTGATGGATCACATCCCACGGCTATTGGCTCAGCTGCCTGATCCTAGGCTGGACACCAATTTTACCATTGAGGTGCTCCTGACAGCAAATCATTATCCTGTTTCCGATCCAGACATCCTCATTGACCGAGCTGTCCATCACCTGACAAATTTAAATGATGCAGCACTTGCTTGTGAGTGTCAGATATTAATTCGTTCGCTATGATCCTGATGACAATCTCTTGGAAGCTAAATTCTATGATGTTGCTGGAGGATATTATCTCAACCGGAGAAATGATATAGCTATGAGTCTGCAATTTTTTGACAAAGCCCTTACATTGGCAAGAGACTGTGCAAATGTCCAGCAGCAGGCTCTCACATTAAATAGTCTTGGTCTAACAAAGCATACCATTGGTGATTATTCAGGGGCCCAAAAACATGCTCGTGAAGCACAAAAGATGTCACAGATCTGCGGAAACGTATATCAGGAAGCTCTGGCATTGTATAATCAAACAGCCTGCTGTTCATATCTGGGCAACGATAAAGCTACAATTACATTGTGTCAGGAAGCAAGACAGCTTTTGCAGTTGTGTGGGATGCATGGTGGTCAGTTAGATGATGCCATCACAACCACTATTGCCGGCGTTCATTCAACAAAATCAGAGTATGCTGAGGCTCGCAGGATCTTCACAATAATTGTTCATCGCACTTCACCCACCAAAGGTCCCTCGGCTTACGCCTTGAGCCTTATCAATATCGCACAGATTGATGTGATGACTGGAGGACCTAAAGACCTTGTCGAATCCAATATCGAACAGGCAACACAGATATTTGCTGTGATGCAGGTCCCTGCAGCTCTAGATTGGTGTAAACTGGTGTTGGCAGATCTTATGCTCAGAGAAAGGAACATTCCTAAGGCAAAAAACCTATTTCAGGAGGGTCTGAATTCCCAATGGGGAAAAAATGCTGATGCTGTGAACTATGCTCTGTCCAGGCTGGCCGATGTTAGCTGCTGGACCTTGGATGAAATTGAGTGGTCCTGGAGATGGGCTGTGGTATATCTGGCTTATGCCGAGAAGTTGCAGCAGAAGGTTGACCTGTACAAAGCACTTCAGTGTATTGGAGATGGGTTCATGCTGCAGGGAGATACAGACACGGCACACAGCCTGTTCGAAGTCGCATTAGCGGAATTTACACAGCTTGACATTCATCAGAGGCGAGCCGATTGCATGCTGCGTCTTGGAGATATTGCCAAGGAGAGAAGGGATTTCCTCAAGGCCATTAGACTGTGGAAAGATGCTCGCCCGTTGTTTGAACGGTCATTACAAGCAAACAAGATTGCCAAAATTGACACCAGACTGGCTGCTGTTGACACGCATACTCTCCAGCAGCACGAGGAATCATTGCAAATTCTCAGCTGCTTGAGGACATCTTTGGACACTGGGATTGACCAGTTGGATATCGAAGCAGCGAAAGATATGGGTCCCAGCGAAGAACCAGCATATGTTTCCCTATAACTTCTAGTCTCCTGTCCCTCTTAGTACACCGATTTTATTTATTTCCCTGTAGTTTGACGATGTTCCTAGTGTACCAGAGTTGTCGGAGACTATGCATATCACTGTGTGCTAATTTTATTTATTTATTTACTAGCAGTTTACCCGTGCTACGCTACAGATTCTTGGCATGCTCCGCGTCTCCGTGAGGGCGCGCGCCCGTACTGCTACTTTAGCGGTCAACGAAGGTGGGGCGGATTTGGTGTTATAGCAGAGTGCAGGGCAGGCTCCCCACCGCTTGCAAGCCGCAGACGCACAGCGCCCCGCGTCCTGGCATGCGCAGCATGTGGAGGTCGTGCCCGTGCGCGGCGTCTCCTCGGGGCGCGCTCTGCGTACGTGTCTTCCGCGGTGAAATGGTGCACCAACGTATAGCCTGCAAAATGTAGCTAGATATAGATAGAAAACTCCGAGGAGAAATCACACTAAAACCAACCAACACACACAACCAATACGATGTGCTAATAATTGAGTTCGGGTCACCCTGAAGTATACAGGTAAGATTGATCCTTCTCTTGTAAAGTTTGAACAATATCAACTCTAAGAAAGTCTTGTTAGGACTTCCGCGGAGCGCAGTAGTTATAAATAACCACTAATAGTCAACCACTCTGATACTGCGGAGGGTATTTTCGGGGTGCCAACTCATGGCTTGACGGAGAATCGAACTCCAGACTTTCCGTCGAACAATATGCAAACCTTCCATATAGGTACACAGAGCACGTTACCATTACGCCACCAAGCCATGAATTGAATGACCAAAATGCCAATAGACCATCGCCATGAAAAAGAATGGTTTCCATCGAATGGCTTGACGAAGAATCGAACTCCGGACTTTCCATCAACCAATATACAAATACTATATATCACCACGGAGAGCGTTACCATTACGCCACCAAGCCATGAATCGAATGACCAAAATGCCAAATAGACCATCACCATGAAAAAGAATGGTTTCCGTCGGAATGGCTTGACGGAGAATCAAACTCTGGACTTTCCGTCAAACGATATACAAATGCATTAGATCGCCACAGAGCGCATTACCATTACACCAACAAGCCGTAGGAATCGAACGACCAGCTAAGATACTTTACCTTCCAACAGGAGGTTCATTTTACTTGGATAATTATTTTGATTCTCTCGGGGACACGGCTGTAATTTGATCTCAGTCTACCTCAGTCCACTACCTGTGGAGCGGCTCCTCGATGAAATAAATGGAGCATTCCGGCGAATATTTAGATGCAGATCAACGGATTTGCCCCGCACCAAAAAACACTGGTGAAAATCGCCGTGGACTCGGAGACCAGCTTCCATATCCATAATCCAAGAGCCTTGAATGAGCAGAGCTCTCCGTTTCATTTATCACGGCGGCCCTTAGATGGCCTGTTTCAAGCGGCAACTGATCACAGTTACTCAAATTGAAAATACCAACTCAAGTCTCGCGCAATAGGCTTTGCAGGTTGCACTTCGGCTTCATTGTTGAGAAAATACAGATTCGAATCCTCGCATTTCCGTAACTGTAAGTTCCCAGACACTACGCATCCGTATTTAATAATTTCAATTTTCCTGAAGTCGCAGTTCCAGAAAACGTTCAAAAGAGAGGGCTGACTCGGGCTGGACCACTAAATATTGCACTGCAGTTTACTAGTAGAGCGATAGCTCGAGAGAACAAGCCCAAAGTTTCTACATCCTGAAGTGAAATGTTCGTGCAAGGTTGAACTACATAGCCCTGTCGCGTCGAGTACGAAAGCCAAATAAATGCAAAGAACACGTGTTGGTGTGGGTGTCTTCGGTTATCTTTTGATTTTCTTCTTCTTATTTTGAGGTCGCGGGAACTCCATCTGTTTGTCTCGACCCTGTAGACTTGAGAATCCCGGTATGGGTGAGGCATTGCACAGTTATGCGCAGGCTCGTACTCGGGTGTGATGTACATGTACTGGTGTTGGTTCGCAGCCACCCTCGCCGGGTAGGCGCGCGAATACGGCCAAATTAGACCAATTGGAGATGAACGACGAATCAAATTACACGGTAGTCTGTTACCAAAGATCTAGACCCAAAGTTTCCACACTTCTAAGATCCTTGTATGAGCCTCATGATGTGTTCAAATCCAGAAGAGCCGGGAAGACAGTGAGACACAAACCGACGCAAACTATCATCATGTTGCTCCTCCTGACACGATAAAATATTTGTGTCTCCCAGGTTTTGCGCGGTCTAATTCACAAGTCCATACGCATAGACATATCAAGTGATATTTATGTTCGTGATATCAATGCTACCTCCCTGCTACCGCCGACAATCAGAGAAGTTGATGAGGAGCTGGCCTTCTCCCGCACAAGGATAAGTGTGTGTGTATATATATATATATATATATATAAGCGATAGGTATCAACCGTCTTGTTGCCCACTCCCAAGATGCCGCCACTACAGCGTGATGCCATGGAGAGCAGATTGAATACCATCGTCGCCTATCTGACCCCTGCCGTCACTCTCCTGAATGAGCTCCATGACACATTTGGCACCCCCTTTATCCTGGCCATCTCAAATTCAACTCTTGCATTAATTACTGCAGTACAGGTAATGAGTTCGCACCAGTTTTCTCACCCTGATCCTATGTTTCAGAGTGTGAAAAGGAATAGAGAAGAATGTATCCAGCTGATGGAAAATATTCATGACCTGCTGTATACAATTGTGAATATCCATATAAAATCTACAACCACAGGGAGCCTTCCTCCAGCGATCTTACATCATCTGGGAATTTTTTCAGAGTATGTCCCATAATGGATTCATTATTTCTGACTGACATTCTGCAGAACACTGCATAAGATACATGCCTTTGTGGAATCAAGCCAGGGTGGAAATATGATCAAACATTTCTTTCGTCAGGGCGAGATGAACACACTGCTGGAAAATTGCCGTATAGGATTACATCAGGCTTTAAAGGTGTTCAAGGTATGTAGTGTTTTGCCATTTCCCGAGTAGCCCTAAACTCAAACATGGAAACAAATCCAGATTGAAGCTGGTGTTGCCTTTTTTGATAGCATTACTGAGTTAGAAGAAAGGACACAAACTATGCACAAAGACCTGCTGGAATTGATTGCTTCAGATGGGACTGTTTCAGACAGGTCATCCTCGGTATGTGCAATTCTTGTGTATTATTAGCTGCACTCAATGTTTTTCTTGAGATGTACCACACGATCAATGGTTCAGAAAATAGGTATTATGGCAGTCTGCACTTGTTGGATCTGGACTTACTGTTGGGTTATAAAGCTCAAATTCTCTCTCAATGTTGCCAGCAAAACCGAAGATTTTCCATGGCCGGGATTCAGAGCTCAAGGAGATTGTAAACACTCTCAACCATGAATCCGCTAGAGTAGCCATCCTCGGTGCAGGTGGAATGGGCAAAACCAGTCTGGCCAAAGCCGTGATACACCACCCAGACACCCTTTCCAAATATGAACACAGCGTCTTTGTTGCTTGTGACTCAGCAACTACCAGCATTGAAGTTGCAGCACAGATTGCAGCGCACATCGGGTTGAAGGCAGGAAAGGACCTGACAAAACCTGTTGTCCAGTATTTCTCAAGGAAGGGCCCATGTCTTCTAATTTTGGACAATCTGGAAACATCATGGGAGCCAAAGGAGTCCCGAGGTGCAGTTGAAGAGTTCCTTTCTCTACTCACCGATGTGCGACATCTCGCCCTACTGGTAAGTATATACATCTTCGGTCATTCACAATTACTAATGCATTGCCAGATAACAATGCGAGGCACAGAACGGCCAGCTAAGGTTGCCTGGACTCGTCCGTTTCTACAGCCTCTGAAGCCAATGTCAAATGATGCAGCTCGACAGACTTTCATTGATATTGCAGATGACTTTCACAGCAACGAAGATATCACCCAACTACTCAATCTGACAGATAATATGCCCTTGGCAGTCGATCTCATTGCACATCTTGTAGACTATGAAGTCTGCTCCAATATCCTAGCTCGTTGGCAGACAGAGAAGACATCACTGCTTTCAGCCGGTCATGATAGAAAATCTAGTCTGGATGCATCCATCCAAATCTCGATTTCGAGTCCTCGAATTGTCTCATGTCCTGGTGCACTGGATTTATTGAGTCTGCTCTCAATTCTCCCTGATGGACTCTCTCATGTGGAGCTTGTTCAAAGTAACCTTCCTATTCAGAATATCCTGCTTTGCAAAGCAGCATTGCTGGGTACCTCATTGGCTTACAATGACGATCACAAGCGGCTGAGGTCACTGGTGCCTATCCGAGAACATATGCAGCACTTCCATCCCCCCAAGCCGCTATTGATTCAGCCTCTGCGCAGACACTTCCATCTGCTCTTAGATCTATACCGGACATACCCGGGTGCTCACCAGACAGCTGGCATAGTCAATCAGATAGCGACAAATATGGGAAACTTGCAGCATGTGCTGCAACTAGGACTGCATCACGACAATCCAGATATTTCAGACACCATCAACTGTGCACTTTCCTTCAACACTTTCAGTCGATTGACTGGACGTGGACGTAGCTCCTTAATGGATGAAATTCCAGCATCTTTTCCTCGGCCTTGTAATCACAGACTAGAAGCAAAGTTTATTACTGAGGTGTTTGCATCCAGGCTGTATCATCCCATTTCCAATCCAGAACTCTTGACTTCTCAGGCAATTTCTCACTTCATGGACATCCGTGATCCAGTCCTCGAGTGTGCGTGCTTTCCATTCCTATTTTGCTGTGTGCTCTAACATAAAATAATACCAGCTCAATTCTATGTGGCAACTGGGGATTATTATTCCTATCAGCATAATATGTCTGCTGCAAGGACAAGTTTGGAGATGGCACTGCAGTTATCAAAGTCCTCCGGAGACTTTGTGCAACATTCCATTGCATTGATCAGTTTGGCTCGGTTGAAGCACGTTATTGGGGAATATCATGCTGCCCAGATGCATGCCCGTGAGGCTCAAAGATCAGCAAGGTCCTCTGGGAATTTATACCTAGAAGCAAGATCCCTGTATAGCGAAGCTAATTGTTGCACATCTATCAGTGACTACAGACATAGCTCTCTCCTTCTTTCTCGAGCGAGAGAATTGCTCAGGTTTTGTGGCTTGTCTGGCGGTAACTTGGATCATAACATGATGGACCGTCAAGCAGATATTCACCTTCTCAAATCAGAATATGCAGAGGCCCGCAGCATCCACACACAAATTAGTCAGAGTACCTCTAATGAGCACGATTCATTTGTTCATGCACTCGCCCTACTCAATGCTGCAGAGATTGATGTGATAACTGGTGCATCTGCTTCAGATGTGTACCACAATCTTGAAAAGGCAAAACCAAGAATTAACGCTGTCTCCTTTCAGCGTGGGCTAATTTATTCGGAGATGATCTTGGCAGACTTGAATCTCAGAGAAGGGCATCTGGTGGCTGCCACAACCATGTTCAAGCAGTGTCTCAATTCTGCGCGGGGAAATAGTGCTGAGCTGATGATCTATGGACTAGAGAGACTTGCCAATGGCACCCGCTGGACAGACATTACCTTTGAGCATGACTGGACATGGTCGATAGTATATTTGGGATATGCAAAGAAAATCGAGGAGAGGCTGGCTCTTAATCGGTCCTTGTGCTTCCTCGGAGATGTGTTTCTTTCCACCGGAGACGAAGAAACTGCAAAAAATCTCTTCACTGTGGCTTTGGAAGGCTTCACCTATATGGATGTTCATCAGGGCAGGGCAGCTTGCATGCATCGTCTCGGGGATATTGCCAAGAACCGAGGAGATTTGGGAAAGGCGGTGAAGCTGTGGCAAGATGCACGCCGGTTGTTTGAACGCTCATCGCAAGCAAGAGATGTTTCACTAATCGATACGAGACTTGCTTCCATGAACTAGTGCGAGAACCCGGGCCCTTCTGGTCCGGATTTTCGAGCCTGAATTGTCCCAGCCTTCAACGGCAACATCTTCGGCACAGACTTTCAACAAATCACCGCCAGTGGTATTTTAGTATTTACGATTTCCTCGGCCAACCACTTTCTTAGGCACATTTGTCACTGTGGTATTGCA